CTCGTTGTTCCTGAAAAGTTCACCATGGGCAGAAATCCTTTATACGCGGGTACTGTACTCATTGAGCTCTACAAAATAACAAATATCCGATTCGAAACGGAGACTCACACTTGGGGACCTTCCCTCGTCAGTGCGACTAGAAGAATTCTCGAAGAATGGTGACAAAATCTCAGTGATGACAGAGTTGATCATATATTGTTCATCAGAAACTTTTCAAAAATTATACTTTACTGCTTTGCAATAACTAATAGGATAAATTTAAAAGATGCAATACTATTCTGCTATCTACTACTTTTAAAATCTTTCAGCTAAGGTACGACTAAGGAAGAATAAGAAATAAAGTTCATAGAGTAGAGATATATATTCTTCAGAGTAGGGTAGCGTAGAAATACAGATTCTGGAGGATAAGAGTTAGAAAATTTGTCTCCGGCAGGGTACAGGTTGTGCAAAAAGCTTATCCTGCACATCTCTATTTCACAGTCAGAAGAAAAGACTTATACAAGCCAGAGTTGTCAAATCTATTTATTTTAAGATAGAAAGATCCTCATAAAAAAAACAAATAAAGACAGAACTTGATCAGGAGATTTTTCATGAAATGTCAAGGTAAAAACTAAGAGAAGACTTCTGACGTTTACAAGAGAATTAGGGATGCACCCGTTCCAAATAACCGAAACAGATGGAACCGGTCAGAACCGATTGACACCATGCACAGAGAAATCGGAAAAGCGAAAAATCCAATGATGATTAATTTAAAGGATAGTGGTTGTGTTTCCTATCTTCATGGCGAGGATCGAAATTTTTAGTGCTAACTCCTACGTATAAAATCTGTGTTGTGTGCAATTGTTGAATAGCACTCTATTAGTGGCAATATCATGAACGAACCTTGTATGTGACTAGGAATGCAAAGGTGGCAATCATTCACCGGTATACCGTCACCGTTTCACTAGTCCAACCGTGGTAACCGTACTTACCGTTACTAGTTTTCACGAAGAAAACGACTGTTTCAGAAAATAACGATTTCTTTTAAAGGTTAACGGAAGTGAATCGAGCTCGGAGAATCCGATCTGAAGTGAGTTTTTCGAAATTTTGAATTTTATTTTCGCAGCAAAAAAATCTCTTTCTTCAAGTCATGTTTTCTCTTGAAAGTTTTTTTCCGGGAAGAAATGATTTTTCACCTAAAAAAACACATTTTATGTTGAAAATGGAACTCAAAATTTCAAAAACTGATTTCAGATTCCCGTTCCCGACCCCGATTTGCTTTCGTCAACCTTTATTGGAAATCGTTATTTTCTGAAACAGCCGTTTTCTTCGTGAAAACTAGTAACGGTAGGTACGGTTACAACAGTTGGACTAGTGAAACGGTGACGGTATACCGGTGAATGATCGTCACCTTTGTATTCCTAGTCACATACAAGATTCGTTCATGATATTGCCACTAATAGAGTGCTATTCAACAATTGCACACAACACAGATTTTATACGTAGGAGTTAGCACTAAAAATTCCAATTCTCATTATAGAGAGTGGAAACACAACCACTATCCTTTCAATTAATCATCATTGGATTTTTCGTTTTCCGATTTCTCTGTACAAGGTGTCAGCCGCTTTCGGTTCTAAAACCGGAACCGGTGCATCCATATGTGCAGGTGTGGTGTTACAGGCACAGGTGTTTTTCCTGAGATAGAACCTTTTTGCTGATGATGGATATATAAATAATACCTGCAGTCGTTTGTGGGTAACGAATAGTTGTTGAAGAATTTATAAGTCTACTAGTCCTAACCTGGCTTCGCATTGAAATGAACTGAACCATGTGGTAGCAGTCATATATATAAGGTGAGGTTCATCCGGCTGTGAATAGTCAGTCCGCTTACGAATAGTTGGTGGGATTGCGAATAGTTCGTCTGGCATGTTTCACGTGCAGCTTATTGCAGTATAAGAAATTTCAGGTATTCTAAGCGGTTTTTACCTAAAATGATCTGTTATCCTAAACCATCAAGCATATGTCACTAGGCCTAGCAGACCATGTGATGCGCTTTCAGCGTTTCCAGGAAACTCGATCAAATACAAAGGTAGGAGTTATAGGAGATATAGGAGATATAGGAGATATACGAAGTGGGAACGTGCTGACTGTTTTTGGTTTTTCATGAGTTTTAAACAAAAAAACTTTAAAAATTTTAAAAAGTTGAAAAAAATGAAAAACTAAAAAATGCCTTAAAAAAGTCAACAAGAATTTGAAAAGTCAAAACACCTAAAAAATCTCTTTTTAAATTTAACAATATTGTATATTTCGTTTGATCTTCTGTAACTTTCTTCTTCATGAGAACACACCCAAATTTCAGATCAAGTGTGGGTGCCGTGAAAGGAAGAACACATGCAGCCATTTTGTGAGGGTGTTGGTTGACCTCATTCTCTAAATGCATGAATCGTGCTGTTTTAACAAATAGGATTTATATATATGCTCAAATTGCAAGAAAATAGTTAGAATTATGGCAAAGAACTTCGAGAATCAGACCTTCTTTCCTGAGTTTTTTAAGGTATTTTGACTTTTTTTAGTTTTGTCAACTTTTTAAACTTTTTTAAATTTTTTAAAGTTTTTTGTTTAAAACTGATCAAAAGAAGAAGTCAGTTCGCTCCCGCTTGGTATATCCCCTATATTTATAACCCTTGTGTTTAATGCAGTTTCCGAGAAACACTGAGAACGCATCTAATCAAAAACCGAGAAGTTGGCTCGTTTAATCACACTCCACAAAAGAATATTGAAATTTTTTGTATATTGACTCTCTGAACGTCATACAGGCAATCTGATCTATATTTTTCAAATATCTGATTTTAATCTTCTGATTATTCTGTAGTCTTCTTCGTTAGTCGACCGGATGATACTCGAAAATCATTGACTTTCGTTCATAGAACTCCTCTATTCAAAATTTCTCGATGTACAGGAAAAAAAATGAACGCATTAATCGAATTGCTCACAGTATGTCTGAACTACAAAGAGAATCATGCTCTTAACATGCAATTTTATTTCATTGAACCGCCACATTTTGAATCTCTCTGGCGACTCTATTTTGATCCACTACTGATCGAAACAGTGACTAGTCAAGATCGATGTGCTGGCACTGAAGCTCTTGGTCAAATAGCTTATCTATCGAGGGTATATGGGTGAAAAAAAATAAGAAACACCCGAACCCACCCGCTCACACTCACACCTTCTTATTAGTTTCATTGATTAATACGACTCAATAAATAATTAATATTATTCTAGATAATCTAATGACTAGCATTTTTAATCTAATTAGATGATAGAATTGATCTTATTTTAGTATTAATCATTTGTCTGAAAGCACAACATTTAAAGCTATTAATGCTTTTCATCGAGTTCGTTTCATTTATTCATGCTTGTCTAAACTTGATCATATATATACTTATTGTCATATGAAGAAATGTTCACGTTTATTTTTGCAACAAAATCATATGATCTCATCTAATGATATTTATTATGATGATTGTTTGATATTTGGTATTATATTATTGTTCTATTAATTTATTAAATGTTATCTAGAACAAAAAAAATATGAGAAAACGAAGGCTATTTATCAGAATTACATTTCAATGTCGATATTCACTGTTCTATTTATCATTTTAATCATGATAATGATGAGATTTGGATCGATTATTTATTTTAAGATTCGTGAAATGAGTGTTTCTCTGTTCAAAAATTATATTAATAGTCAATTCTCAAAGATAATTTCGATTTAAATTAGTATATTTTATTCTTGCTACTATTTGTTTTTGATATATTGAGTTGTTCGAGTTTGATAACAGATCAAATTATAAATTATAAAACCAGTAAAAAAAAATTAGTCAGAATTAATCTTTGTGTGTTGATATGACATATTTATATAGTGATATACTGTATATCTTCTGCTCCAGTTTATTTTATAAATTTATTTATTTATAAAGATGTTTCTTCCTGTTGTTGTTGTTTCATTTAATCATACTGATTTCATTAGCTATTGTCATAGCGCAAAACAAATATACTTTTATATTCATTTCTGAAATGAACAATGTTAAAATGAACGATTCATTTAACGTCTTTAAATTTTGATTTGTAAATAAACGAAAAATATTTAAATACGTTAATTATGAAAATTTATATAATGACTAAATAGAGATAATGTGAATAATAAAAAGAAATCAATTATGAAAATTATGTCTATGATATAAAATCTTTAAAAAATCTTTTGAAATATAATTATTATAGATTGGTAACTAAGTTTTAAAAACAAATGCTTTTTTCATCTCGATTTGTTGTTTTTTATTTTTATATTTTAACGAATATAAATCAATGCATAATAAATATCAATGCAATAAAATGTGAATATTCTGCCATAGCTCGAGATCAAAAATTCGAAACAGATAAAATAAAACGTTATAAAAGATTTGTTCTTTTTCCTGAATATAAATTATGGTTAAATGATTGGCGTTATTTAAATAATCCGAATGAATTTATTTATTGGATAAGTAACTATTATCCGAATAAAATTGATTCAAATTATGTTCGTTCATATATTCATCATATTGTTAATAATATAAATACATTTATTAATAATAAAATCTCTTCAATACGTCAAGCATCATCAATAGATAAAGCCAATTTTCATTATCAGTTTTTTAATTATGAAATTTGTCCCACTGATGATTCATTAGCAACAACATATAATGTAGAAACTATTCAATCACTGATTATTTATCCACGTCAGATTATAAAAGAAAAACGTTACCGTGCTCATGGAGGAATATTATTAAATCATAAAAATAATTCAACGACATCTACGATGAAATTTAATATTCATCACACATTTTTAATTCATCAAGATTTTCAATATGATCCAGTTGAATATAAATGTAATTCAGATGAAACTCATTGTTTTATGGATCTTTATGCTGTAATGTTACATGAAACTCTTCATGGGTTTGGTATTGAGGTATATTATTTTTAAATAATTCAAATATAATTATTTGTTTTTATTTTTCATTAAAAAGCATACAGAAAATAAATTACCAAATAAAAATTTTCTTGCTGTTATGCATTTATATGCAAGTCGAATAATGTGTCATGATGATATTCGTGCTATTAGAAAAGTTTACGGTTTATCTGTTAAACGTGTTAATTCAATTTATGATGATACATGTCGAAGAGATTTTCCTCTGAATCCATTACAAAAACAATTTAATAAATGTCATCGATGGATTAGTTTTTATATATTTCAAATTGCTTTATTAATTAGTTTTATTTTATTTCTATTAACCATTATTTATATTATATTGAGAATAAATTATTTGCATAGAAATAAATATGATCAATCATCGAGTCCTCAATCATTTCATTCACAACAAACATATTATAAAGCACATAAAACAGCAATAAATGCTTTTTTATGGCATAATGATTATTTGAATAATTAATTAATTATTATAGATTAAATACATTTTTCGATTTTCTTTTAGTTTCTTTTTTTTTCTCTTCAAATATATTTTTTGTTTTCCTTTTAAAAACCTTTCAAATTTATATGAAATTTATTTTAGTTAAAATATATTTGTCCAAATGAGGAGTTTTTCATTGATTTTAAATAGTTATTTTTAATAGAAAACAAGTCTTTAACAATAAAAAGATAATTTTTATCTAATTAATGAGTTAGGGGTGTCAGCGTTCCCGTACCTCCGGGTTCCGTTCCCTAGGAACGGGAACGCGTTTGAAAACTATTTTCTGAGCACTCTCCAATATTCGAAGATGCTCAGATGTGCCTATTCCTTTCGTTCGTATCAAGTCACGATGGGTTCCCGGGTTCCTCGGGACGGGAACCCACCCAGGTTCCGCGTTCCCAGGTACGGGAACGCGTTTCAAAATTGGTTTCCAAGGATTATCCAGTGTTCGGAGATTCTCAGATGTGTCTATCCTTTTCATTTGTATGAAGTCATGACGGGTTCCCGGGTTCCTAGGTACGGGAACCCATTCGGGTTCCGCGTTCCCAGGTACGGGAACCCACTCGATTTCCGCGTTCCGAGGTACGGGAACCCATTCGCGTTCCCAAATACGGGAACTTGCACCATATTTCAATAAAGGGAACTCGG